GTGTGTGTGTGTGTGTGTATTTTATGTCTCTGTCTAAAATAAATAGTTGAATGAAAACTGTTTACAAGGTTGTATTTCTGACATAATGCTGCAGGCATGCCAGACAGGCTCACTGCAAACAGGAACTCCCTAACAACAGAGGCATTAGTCAGTGATGAAACTCTCTTTTCAACAGACACCATACTTTGTTTTATTGTGAAGGGGATACCTTCACCTCCAGGCTTTTTGGGCTTTTTCCAGCTGCGGCAACATGTTAAGATGCTTTATTGTCTCATATATCCGTTCTTTTGTCACTCTGAAAGCTATGGGCAAAGGTAGGCAGTGAATAGAATCACCTGCATTGGATAACAACAGGATGTTTAACTTGTGTTACCTGCAGAGGAAAGAGGATTGATGTCCCTTTGTCAGTAATATCCTGTAGGCACAGTGAAGGGCCATCAGAGCACGGTAAAGTCTAATGTTGATTAATAGTTGGGGAAAAATATTTGACAAGTTGTCTGGTAAGCTTTGAACTACATTTAATATGTTTGTAGAATTGTTAAAGGTACAATTTTGGTGAACTTTATGATTTTATTGTGCTAAATCTCAAATGGAAATATAGTTTTACATATTGACCTCACAACATGTTGAGTGTGCATTGTATTTTTAACATCTAACAAATAAATACACAAACATACTATAAGCGTATACAGCACATCATATAACATACCATATTAACTTGCTAACACCAATATTTGCTAACATTGCCACAGCTTTAGTTAAAATAAAGTTGCTGTATAGCTGGTACTATGGAGCTGAAATGGAGTTTACAGACGATGACATTAAAGATGAATAAGCTGATAGGCTAACACAACAATGATACCACCGGGCTAATGTGGTAGCAATGGTAGCCTTTTGGAACATAATGCATTATGGGATTGAAATTTGAAACTCACTAATTACAGTACTAATCCTAGTAACACTCCATTACTTTGATATTTTTGTAGAAATACTATTCCAGTTGTTTTATTTATATGTTGTGTGTTCTTAGCTGGCACATCAACTGTACACACCTAGTTTAGTTTAGAGCTGAAGAGGAGTGTGAACCATGCAGCTCCAGACTGGGACTTCTGGAGCGTTCTGTGCAGTCACCAAGGTTAAAGCTAGCCCCACACTACAGGACAGTTAGCCCAGCTTTAGGCCTGATTGTCCCTTCCTGACAATCGTGGGGGCATTCCCTAATGTGAGGCCACTTGGAAGCTATTATCAGGCCAAATTATTCTGTAGTGTGGGGTGCTGAATGACCTAATCTTTAAGCCTCTGACAGGATCAGAAGGCCCCCAGTCTTGAATTGTAAGTATCAAGCATGTTTGATACTTGTGAGTTGGATTCCTGTAGTGTGGGGGCAACAGCCCTAATGAATCCTAACAAGACGCCTGGCCAGGAAGTGTCACAGCTGCTTGTTGCTTTAGCTTGCACTAGCCTCACCTCCAGCTTGTGCTGCAAAATCTGTAAGCCATGTTGATTTTGTCTTCTCAGCCAAGACTTCTTCTATTTTTTTCTCTGAACAAAACATAACACACACAAGCACTACTGCTTGACAATGAGTGCCTACCTCCATGTTTGTTTTGTTCTGAAGTCATCTTTGATTACAGGAGTTTCTGTGAGATCCCTGGTCCCCATAGTCAACATCTCTAAAATCATTCACTAAAAACGGCAAGTGTGTGGTCCTTTCTCTTGACTCTAGTCTAGTGAGTGTGCTCTTAAGATTAAGATTAAGCTGTCATTATGTCTGTGGTCTCTCACATTTTCTAAACTCGGTTAAGATTACAAAATCCTCTAGTGTGGGCCCAGCCTAAGATCGCAGCTTAGCAGCTATGGTCAATAAATCTCTCCAGAGTCTACAGTAAGTGTACCTGCTTGTTAAACCATAACATCTGGTTTTCTTATACTTACTTTTGTACTAGATACAAGTCCAGTATTCACTCTCTTTTAGCTATGTTTTTGGTCTCATCAGTTTCTGAAGGAAAAACATGTCTGTTTAGTCAGTAAAGGCTCCACTGTGTTCTCCAGCTAGTCTGTGACTGACTCATTCAGCCATTTGCAGCTGAGCAGATTGTGGACAGTGGTGGAGAACAGAAAAAAGTTGCAAATATTAAAAGTTTATAAGTAAGCTACATTATCTCTCTTTCTAGTTTTAGGCTTTGTTTTTAACAAAAAGCCCATTTTAGCACCTACATTGACTGTTGTTCCTCTTTATCAAAGCCCCTTACTTCAGTTTTTAATTCCATAGATCGGTCATGCCCAGGAATGGTAAATACCAAGCAAGGAGATACGTCATTTTCAGCTACCATCTTTGTCTGGATTAGGAAACAGCCACATAGCCTATAAATCATATTTTCCAAAGAGGTGTTACTGTATTGATAAATAATAGCAACCTTTTAGCCCTTTCTATTGTGGATTTATGTCTAAATTAAACACATAAATACAGTTAAAGGTTGCTAAAGCTAAATGAACAATCAATATAACAACTACTTAAGATGATGGAATATTTACACACAAGAAGAAAAAAATCATAGTTTTAGGGATACAGTACCATACCATACCATACCAACTTTATTTATAAAGCACTAAAAAACAACCAGAGTGGACCAAAGTGCTGTACATTGCAACAAAACAGTATAAATTATAAACCCACAAACAACAATATAAAATATAATCAATATAAAAAATGACTAAAATCAACACAAAAATAAAATATCAAAATGCCAGGGAAAATAAATGAGTTTTTAAAAGAGACTTAAAAACGGACAGGGTAGAGGCTTGTCTAATGGACAGTGGTAAATCATTCCAGAGTATAGGACCAGCAACTGCGAAGGCTCGATCGCCTCTAAGCTTACGCTTTGTTCTTGGGACACTCAAGAGAAACTGATTTGCTGACCTCAGTATGTACTGTGTGTTTTGCAAATACTCAAATTTAAACGTGAAAAAATCTTTAAGAAATGTAATATTTTTTTGACTCAAACTTTTCTGATAAACGTATCATACAAGACAAGATAACCAAAGCCATTCTTACAATCTGGAAAACCACCAGGCCCTCATGGACAGCCATATAAACTGTATGAGAAATTTTATTTTGTACTATCCTTATCTTGACACCTATATGTTCAGAATTACTGACATGAGGATCCCGTC